TATAGGTAGTACTCAGAACCTGAACATATCAAATTTTTGTAACTTGCTTGTGCAGACCTACATGATTAAAACGTTCTCGACAGATTCAGCACATTCTACCACCCACCAGAGGAAGGCAACAGCGGCCCGGTCACACTCGATCATCAAAAAACTGAACCCCGGTAAGGCCGTACGGGACGTTACATGAACAGTGCCCAGTCATACATGCAACTTGGACTCCTTAACAACTTAAGAGAGATATTATAGTGACCTTGACCATTTATATCACTTGTTTATAATTAGCCTGAAATTGTTGTGCTTTTTAACTTGTCGTAGTAATAGATACAAATATTTTTAGTAATCCTTCAGTACTCATACTATATATGTAAATATGTCTTCATCATGTCTCTATTCGAATTGTAATTGTCCTGAAGAAATGTAGCCGTTACGGCTGCAACCTTTGTGACCGTGGTATTGAAATAAAACATTCATATTGTTTCTTATCTTTTCAGAAACAAATTTACCACTGTACTGCTTTAGTTACATACTTGATGGTAATATGTTTGTAGTAATATACATCAATTGTTACAATGTATCTATACAATTACTTACAATTGTTATACCACCATTATACTCTTACTGATTCTTTCTAAGATTAACTCAATAGATCGCATCAGTTGGACAACCCCAATTTCTTTATGTGTATAGCCTGAATCGGCGGCAGTTGGATACATTACGCCGAACGACTTCTTGCGCCTAACACAACTAACTCGAAAAGAATCTATATCTGCCACAAAGATTCAGATGCCGAAATACAACTACATACACAGTTTCAGAAATGCTTTATTTCATGAGAAAACTTATTTCCATCAATTTCTTTCCATTATTTCCAAAATTCTTACATTTATTCTCATTTATTTATTATTATTATTATCATTCAAATATACTTATGACAGAGAAACATATGTAAACATTGCATAGCCATGTGTAAACTTCGCACTAGTGATAATCTCTTACGTATAGAATCCGGCAGGCATAGCCGTACCCCTCTGAAAGATAGAAGGTGCGAATTCTGTAATCAATTATATGTTGAAAACGAGATACACTTTCTACTTGACTGTACATTATATAAAGATGAACGACAAGAGCTCTTCCATACTTTTAAATGACAATTAGACAACATATGTAAGAAAATGTCAAAGCAGGACATGTTTAAACACGATGTCATGCAAGAACGAATGTAAAGTATGTAATTAATTATGTTTCCAAATGTTTCAAAAAAAGACAACAAAGGGCAACTAACAGTAGATGATAGGTAGTATATAGTATTGTTGTAATGTATAGATTTCTAGCACTTTGAATTAGAATATATCTATATCTGCCACAAAGATTCAGATGCCGAAATACAACTACATACACAGTTTCAGAAATGCTTTATTTCATGAGAAAACGATTGAAAGATTCATATAAAGATTCATCTAACAATAATATGTGGAAGACGAAACGCATTTTATATCAAATTGTACCCTCTATAGCAATGACCGAAATGGACTCTTTGACGTAGCCTCCAGATTCTACCCAAACTTTCACACATATACAAATGAAAAGAAAACCACTCTCCTCTTAACATCCGAAAACCCACAAATTATAGAAAAAGTGGGATCCTTTGTCTTCCTCTGTCTTCAAAAAAGAATTGAAACCCAGTAGTTTTTACCAGTAGATTCTTACTAGTTATCAATAGTTCTATATGTACTTATTGTCTGTTTTTATACCATATCTCTTCTGTTTCTGCAATTAGCCCTCGGGCAACAATTTGCAATAAACAATTGATTATAATTATAATACTATTCTATTGTACTTTCTCTATTCTGATCAGGAAAATGCTCATGTCGATTGTGATGTCACCTGGCACCTGGAACAAATTAAAACACTGTTAACAGATGCAACTGTTGTACTAATCATCATTATATAATTTACCGTATCTACATATACTTATGTATGCGTGATATAACTCGGTTGATTTATTCACAGCAAAGACAGGGGAGGAAGTAAACGATAAACGGTTAATGTCTTCAGATGTATTTACTCAGATTTACCGAAGCAAGCTGTGCGAAGGCAGGATGCTGTCTGCCTTCTGCAGTGAGTTCCTGGACATGTAAAGTCACTGAAACAGAAAGGTATTCTTATCAGTTGGCCTATCACATTAACTTTTGAAAAGAATTGTCAGCATGTTGCTTCGGCATGGGGAAGGGGAGCATAGTGATTACGAATGGCGCAAAATCATGGACGCAGTTTACGAATTACGTTAATCAGGACGATTTTGAAATCAGCTTACGGTGTACTAGTAATTCACGGATTACGTTTTACGTTGTATAAAGGTAACGCCTATGCTTAATGTAGTATATAAGGGACCAATTACGCCTTACGACGAATTTGCTGCTGCTGATTTTGTTTTACTTACCTGCTTCCCCCTGACGAGACCTCTCCTCCGCCGAGGCCAACAGCGTCCCATTTGGCCTCGTTACTGTAACCCTCAGCGCTGGCGATGTTGTCGTTGGTGGTGCCTTTCTACAGAAATGATATATTGAAGATGTCTTTATTACCTCCATGAAAATGGAGCTATTGTTTTTTTGGCGCGCGCGTGTGTGTGTGTGTTTCCCGTACATTTGTAGTCAGCATAACTTCATAACGCCTTTATGGATTATGATGATATTTGCTATGTTGGTAAGTCTTGGGAAGACGAAGGTCAAGGTCAAATATGGGTCTATTGGTGGATGACCTTGGTACTGAAGCAGAATTTGCAGCTGGTAGCTGCCACCGTACAACATACACCGGGGTACCTCACGGGTGGCATTAATTACATGACCCGGGACCACTAGAAGTTGAACAGCTGTATTTGAAAGAAAGGAATTGAAGGTTTTTCAGACATGTACACTATTAGATGCAAATTATGCATATTAACACTCTATTTTATGGAGGTTTGAGATTTACGAACTCTTGTTTGTGCTTGAAGTTTGATTAAAAGATGACATGTTGGCTTTCAGAAGGAAGGTGATGACACATTTATATCAAGAAAAGTCAATACCTTGCTTTCCTGGTCCGTTTTTCGTACCGTCTGTTTTTCAGGACGACCTTCACCTCTTCCCGAACGCGCCCAAAGGGCAAGTGGGGGAAGGTTTTCAGCACCTGGCAATGATGACGTAAGGGTTACTTAATCATGAATGATTTAGATGGAATTTTTAGTCATTTAGCGATGGTGTTTAATTATTGCTGTGTTGTTGACACAATTATACACATGCAAATTATTTGAAGACAAATGGAAATTTTATTGGAAAGCAAATCAGCCAACTGCCAGCCTACCGTGACGTCATATGGCTATCGCTCGTATATATAAAGGCACGTTAAGCAGGCAGAATTGTGTACCATATCAACCGCCTTATGGAGGTGACGGTGTGCGGAGTCCTCAACACCATATCTGTCCAATGCTGCGCGTACTTCCGTCTGGAAAATGGGTAAGTGCAATGTCATTTATTTTTCTTGTTCCCTGTACCTTACAAGCCTTATAAAGTTGAATAAAATAACTTCCGCTACTTATGCTTAGGTCACATTTCCAAACCGGGGCCCGACCGGGCTGTTTGTATGAACGAGAAATTAACAATTAATATGAAGAATATACAGAAATACTGCTCATGATTGTTACTAAGAACTTTTCTGCGTTTTGTTCTCTTTCATATCATATTTTTCGTTCCAAAAAGATGGCCGGCGGGGCCACGTGTGGGAATTGTGACCTCAGCATTAGTTGTCGTTTTTGCAACGAATGTGGATTATCAAAGCAACTAAATACCTACTTCACATGACAAACTCACCAAAAATGACTTCCTTTCGGGAGTCATAGTGCCCCGGCGTTTAACTAACTCTGGTGGGGTGTTCCCACCGCCATTAGAACTCGTGGAAGCTGCCTGAGAAGATCGTGACATGGCTGTAGTGGAGCTCTGCTCGTGTGGGTCGTACAATGACCAGGGAGACAGGAACACGACTGTGATTTGCAGGTGTCAAAATGCAACGTGGCACATGCCATGAAAAACGCGCGGGCTTATTTATTTCATCGTCCAATGAGAAAAGCCTACGTAGGACCATGTATTACCTGCACTTAAGGCACGACTGTAACACGACCACAGTGCCACGTGGCGACATTCTTAAAACGCGAAGCGGAACACGTGGCACATGGCGGTGGCTAATTAAGGGTGAATGGCCCGCATATCCATTGTTATATATTGTGTTAAGGCCTGCTTCTTTCTTAAAGTATGAAATGAATCATCGCGTAAGCGAATCCGAAGTTCCTGTATGGCGCATAGATACTTTGATTCTATGTGGATTGTATACTAGAATGTTATGACTATTAATG